TGACGTCAGCTTTCCTGCTCCTCTGATGCTGCCTGGCCTGCTGTGTTCCTCCAGCTCCACACTGTGTTATCTCATATTTGGCTTTGTCTTGGTAAATTGTCAATCTGTCCTCACTTTGGAAAACTGAAGATGCCATATGGGACATAATCAGACAATGTGATATGTAGTCCTGATCGTAAGTAGGTCCCATTGTTACATCTGAAAACATACCATTAGATTAGTCAGAAAAGGCTTTACTTTAGCAAAGCCATGTTCTTTCTATGTCTCTAACCAGTTATATTTGTCCATGTGTTTATTCAGTCTATCTAACCTTAACAACAGCTTCTAGCAGCTTCACGACAGGTGACAGACCGGTGCTATCTGTTTGTGGTAACTAAAGCTCCTGGCCAAAATCCAGGCCTGTAATTTGGTTGCAATTCCTGCATTTGCTTGTGACTGAATCAACACTTTCAAAGCCTTTTTTCCTGGGGAAAAGCACTAATAACCCTTTGCCGAACACTTTTGCAAAGACAATCTTTGAGATATGAGATTTTGCTCACCCAAAATACAAAGGCCTTCTTTTGCTCTTGTAAGTGCAACATTCACTTGGTTTGGATCAGTGATGAAACCTAAATGTTTCTTCAGCCAAGCTTTTGAAGGTTGTTTGTCAATTTCTTTTTGTGGAAGTGATCGAACTGCAGAAAGAATGACGTAACGCCATTCACTTCCTAAAAGAACATGAGAAAAAAAATTAATGAACTTTTCATATGTACATTTTGATGGATGGAGCTGTATGTATGCTTTACCTGAACTGCTTTACTGCCAACATACTCAATCAAAAGTTTTGCACACCATCAGAAATGGTTGAAGCCTAAATCAAATGGCGTGAATTATTTATTAAAGAATCATTTAACTTTGATGCTAGAACTATCACTGAGTTTCAGGTTTTCTGTTCACACTCCCATACCTTTTTATTTCTGCTATTTCCCATTCCCTGCATTTCAAATCCTATGGTTCAAAATTTTGCATTTCTGAAACCACACATCTAAAACCTTACCTTGCTTTAGTAGCAATGCTTAATCTGAAATAAAAGCCTAAAAATGAACTGCGTCCAAGGGTAGTTATTGTTTATTTGAATATTTCCATCCGTGTTATTTCATTGCTGAGGTACAGTAATGACCAACTGTAACTGAATAAAATTCTTGAACAAGTTTAGGTTTAGATATTTCTTTTACTGTTTTAACCTTCTAAGAAGACTGCAATACGTCAATATTTTTTCTTGCTTTCCATGCTTCATCTGAAAAGCATAGCTAAGAAATTTAATTGTGCCTGAAAATGGGCAGCCTCTGGACACACCATAAACTGCACATGATTGCTCCTGGAGGACTTAGGGACCATGTGAAATTGGTGTAACCAGTGCTCCTCAATGACTCTGGAGATGTTGGTGAAGCAAGTTGAGCTCTTCTATCACTTAAAGGCAGCCAGAATCACCTAAAGCAGAGATACATGTGTCTGCAGGCAAGAAGGAAGATTTCAATCTAGAAATGACTACCATGGACTGTAATGGGTGACAATACTGGAGGTGCACATGCTCTTTTCATACCACATCATCCCTTCCCTTCTCATTTCTACCTTCTCCTACATTCTCTGCTTTACATACTGCAATAGTTGCACACGATTCTTTATCCTCCCTTGATGCAAGTAATAAGATCTAATTTGCCAATTTCAGACTGGGATGAGGAGGAATTTCTTCTCTCAGAGGGTTGAGAGTCTTTGAAACTCCTTGCTACAGAAATAGAATTATAGAGATGTACAGCACAGAAACAGACCTTTTGGTCCAACTCATCCATGCCGATCCAGATATCCTAATTTAATCTAGTCCCATTTGCCAGCATTTGGCCCATATCCCTTTAAACCTTTCCTATGCGTATACCCATCCAGATGCCTTTTAAATGTTTTAATTATACCAGCCTCCACCACCTCTTTTGGCAGCTCATTCCATACATGGACCACCCGCTGCATGAAAAAGTTGCCCCTTAAGTCCCTTTTAAATCTTTCCCCTCTCACTTTAAACCTATGCCCTCTAGTTTTGGACCCCCCCCCCCCAATCCAGGGAAAAGACCTTGGCTATTCACCTTATCCATGCCCCTCATGATTTTATAAATCTCTATAAGGTCACCCCTCAGCCTCTGACGCTCCAGAGAAAATAGCCCCAGCCTATTCAGCCTTTCCCTATAGCTCAAACCCTCCAACCCTGGCAACATCCTTGTAAATCTTTTTGAACCCTTTAATGTTTCATAACGTCTTTCCTATAGCTCTGAGAAGCAGAGTCCATGTGCATAGTTGAAGTTGGGATAGATAAGACTCTTGATCAATAGGGGAATCAAGGGTTACAAGGAAAGGGCAGGAAATGTGAGAAATGTCAGATCAGCCACAATCTGACTGAATAGTTGAGCAGGCTTCAGAGGCTGATCGGCCTTGCCCTCTTCCTATTTCTTATGATCATAAAGGCCTCTACAATACTTAAGGAACACAAGGCCTAGATTTCAGAGTGTTACATCACTCATGCACTATAAGGTTGTAAGAATGCTAAAGTCAGCTACAGAAAGGTGGTCTTGGTGGCATGGTAGGTTATCCCTTATCCTTCCATGATAATAGCATACCTATTCCTCACTTCACACTCTGTTTGTTCTCCTGTTAGTGTCAAGCTAGCTGGGATAAACTGTAATATGTTGAGATGCTGCAGTCTTTAACTGTGCCCTCAAAGCATAGAGCTGTTGAATGTCTCCTACCAATGTCATCTGAAGTATTCTTAATGAAGTTTCACATGTTTTCCAACTTCCAGACATAGCCACTGGGGATAAATCAAGAAGGAACTAACAAGACAGCTCCTCAAGGCATATGAGTGATTCTCAATTATATCACTCAATTCTTATTCAAGCCTGACATGAGGCTTTGAAGATTTGTTGGAGTTGACACACAAACCTATGATGCTGAACTGTCCTACCCTCATATACACACCTAGTCACCACCGTGAATAATTAAATCAAATTTATTAGACATGAAGTCTCCTGAAGAAGCCACGCTGATACATGACTAATCGTGGTTGATTAATCCTTGCCTCTCGAAGTGGAGATTGTTTTGAGGGATAGATTTAATTTCCTATGACTGATGTTAGACTCACTAGCCTGTAGTTTCCCGGTTTACCTTGAATACTCTCTTGAACAATGGTACCATATTAGCTGTCTTGCATTCCTCTGAGACTCCATCGTTAGAGAGGATTTCAAAATTAACGTCAGTACCTCTTCAGTCTCTGCATTCGACTCCCACAGCAGCCTAGGATCCATTTCAATAAATCTAGGGATTTTTAAGCCAGGTAAAACCCCCTCCCGTTCAATGCTAGCTTGTTCAATTATAAGACGGTCCCACTCCCTGATTTCTATACCTACATCATTACACCTACATTAACCGTTGCAGGCAAAGTATTCCTTTACAACCTGACCTACATCTTCTGGCTCCAGCCTCAGATTGCTACTTTAGGCCCTACTCTTTCTCCGGTTATTGTCTTGTCCCTACTCTACTTCTGAAACATCACTGGATTTTCCTTTATTTTTCCCACCATTGATTTTTCATGCCTCCTCTTCACTCTCCTGATCTTTTTTCTTAAGTTAATCTCATGCATCTTGCTATACACCTTTAGAGCATCTGCTGTCTTGAACACTAACTAACTGCTATATAGTTCCTTATTTTCCCCTTATTCAATTGCATACATCGTTTGACAACCAGGATTCTCTGAACTTGTTGGTCCCATTCTTAACCTTTGCAGGAACATGTTGTCTCTGCACAATCACCTCTATGGGTGACTCGTACAGCTGACACATAACTTTTCTTATAAGTAGTTGTTTCTAGTCCATTTTGGCCAGATCTTGTTTTATCATATTAAAATTGGCCTTCCCCCAATTCATACCCTTTACATTTTGTCCATCTTTTATCTTTTTCCTTAAATGTTACTAAGTCATTATCACCAAAATGTTCCCCAACTGACACTTCAATTTTCTGATGAAGGGTCTAGGTCCGAAACGTCAGCCTTTCTGCTCCTATGATGCTGCTTGGCCTGCTGTGTTCATCCAGCCCTGCACCTTGTTGTCTCGGATTCTCCAGCATCTGCAGTTCCTCCTATCTCTGACACTTCAATGCCTTGCCTGGTTTCATTCCCTAATATTAGGTGCAGTACTGCCCCCGTCTAATGTATTACTTCAAAGGCTTTCCAGGATACATTTGAAGAATTCTGCTGCTCTAAACCTTTTATTCTTTGTCTGGCCAAATAATATTGCGGAAATTGAAATTATGTACCAGCATTACTCTATAACTTTTACACTTCTTTTGATTTGCCTAAATATCTATCTTTCTATCTCACCTTGACTGTCTGGGGTTCTACAGTACCCTCCCAGAAACATGAATACCCATTTTTGTTTTTGAGTTTACCCACATGGCCTCATTTGAGGAACTTTCTAAGATATCATCCCCACCTTATTGCAGTATTTGACTCCTTGATCAATTTTGTGACAACACCTCCTCTTTTACACCTCCCAGTTGTCTCACCTGAAGATGCTACATCCTGGAATACTGATCTTCCAGTTCTGACCCTCCCTCAACCACATCTCTGTGATAGCAATGATATCACATCCCCATGTGTTAATCAACACCCCAAGTCATCTGCCTTCGTCGCAAGCCACCTTATATTAAAATAAATATCATGCAGTCTTATCATGTTCCTTTGTGTCTTAACTTGACTGTATATGCTCAGAGACCTGCAGATTGACTTGATTTGTCCTCTACATTTGTCTGTGCATCACTGCCTATTGTACTTCTACTCAGTATCCCAGCTCCTGGCAAAATAGTTTAAAACCTCTCCAACAGTACTGACAACCCTTTCACCACCATACCACACTTGCAAGGATATTCATCCCATCTGGTTCGGGTACAGCCCAACACATTTGTCCAGGTCCCACCTTCCCCAGAAATGGATCCAGTGTTCCAGGAATCTAAAACCCACCCTCTTGCATCAACACATCATCCACGCATTCAACTGTGTATCCACCTATCCTACACTAACACATGACACCAGGAGTAATCCAGAGATTACAATCTTTGAGGTCCTGCATTTAAATCTGCTACCTAATTGCCTAGATTCTTGTTGCAAGACCTCTTCCCCTTTGTTGGTGGTCTCAATGTAAACCAATTAATGGACTGTTTGCTGTTCCCTTTCAGAATGCTATGCAGTGGTTCACTGATATCCTTGACCATGGTCACAGGCAGGCAACACACCATCAGTCATGTCTGTGACTGAAGAACTGCCTGTTTTTAGCCGTCAGTCTTAAGTCTCCTATCAGTATTGCCTTTTCTCTCTTTGTCCTTCCATTTGTGCAGCTGGGCTCTGGCTGCAGTCCCCGGAGAAACTGTAACTCTCATCATTTTCCAAAACAGAAAACACAGGTGCACTCTGCGGCTTATGTGACCATCTGCTAACTGGTAGTCGCCCATTCCTTCCCTGACTGCACTTTCTTGAAACATGCTATCCATGTGATTCTCAGCCTCACAGACACACATTGCAATGCTTCCAGCCAATACTCAGACTCTGAAACCTGGTGTTTAGGCTGGTCAACCCCGTGGCACTTCCTGTATATAGTCACCCAGACTGACAGGAGCATCTAAGATTTCCCACATCCTGCAGGCTGTGCAACACATAGGCCTGAGCTTCCCTGCCATTAATTAGAGACAAAGGACCACAGGAAAGGGAGAAGGCCATTCAGTGTGTAAGCTTGTCCCAGCATTCAGTGTGATCATGGCTGCTTGAACACCTCAATACCTCTTACCCATCCCATCCCAACAGCCCTGTACGCCACTGATAATCAGAAACCTATCAAACTCTTGCTTAACCATACTCAAATTGAGTGTCCATAGGCCTCCGTGTTAGAGAATGCCAAAAGTTCACAACCCTCAGAGTTAAACGAGTTAAAATATTCTTAGACTAACTTTAAGCCAAGTAGAAAATTAAAAGAAAGCCAGAACTCCTATTAATTCTCAATGCAGCTTTAAGGTGGAGAAAAACAACTTACTCACTAACAAACTTTCTGCTTTGTGCTGACACCGCTTTTAAACATAGAAACATCAAAGGTAGGTGCAGGAGCAGGCCATTCAGCCCTTCAAGCCTGCTCTGCTATTCAATATGGTCATGTCTGATCATTGAACTTCATGCCCTGTTCTTACCTTCACCTCATACTTTTTGATTCCATTAGCTCTAACAGTTATTTTTATCTCCCTCCTAAAACCATTTAATGTTTTGGCCTCAAACATGTTCTGTGAATTCTACAGGCTCATTGTTCCTTGGGTGAAGAAATTTCCTCTCATCTCAGTCTTAAACGGCCTTCTCCTGTATCCTTAGATTGTGATCCCTGGTTTTGGACTCTTCAGTCATTGAGAACACCCTTCCTGCATTTACCCTGTTTAGTCTTATTAGAATTTTATAATTTTGTATGAGATCTCCCTTCATTCTTGAGTGAATATAGTCCCAACTAATCCCAACAATTTTCCTACATAAGCCCCAGCAGGAACCCTGCCAGTATTTGAAAAGGCCTCCTGTTGAGAGAGAGCAATGAAGTTTTAGCAGACTGATTTCTGGGTGACAGGAATGACATTCTCCTCTGACTTGCTTGATCTCTCACTCTTACTCCCACTGTCCCAAACACCTCTGAATTCTTGCTGTTCTTTACATTGGTTTTATAGCCTGGACTCCTCTCCTCACGCCTTGTCACAGGGTCTTCACATCACCTGCTTCTTTTCCTCCACTTCATGTCACCAGGCATCAAGGGTTCCTCCCTCAGTATTAAGAAATTCTGCAGCCTGCAGTATATGGTCACAAATCATGGCCACAGACAGTAAACCAATATTCTGCTCAATTATATATCTGATGTGGAATGGCTCTCAATGGGTACACACGTTGGGCTTACAGCCTTGTCCTTGAGAGAAATCGTGAAGTTTGTCTAAAGGCATTATCACTTGTCAACAGGTATCCAGCCTGTGACCGCACCACCGAGTTGGTATAATGGTGACACAGAGGCCTGGTGCAGATAAATCAAACCATGGTTGATGTCTGGAAATTAGTCACAGATTTACATGATGCACCATTAGTGTTTGCAACCAAACTGCCTAAAGAGGGAGCAATTTTCATTGGTGTTGAAAAGGATTCCAATCAAGGAAGCATTCAGGAAACACTGTGCAGACTCTGGTACTTCAGTCCATGGGAAAGTCTACAATCTAGTCAAAGCTTACTGTCCTTTCCTCCTGATTTGTTCTTTGGGAATCTGGTGCATGTTCTCCTGGAAGTGACAGCCTCATTCACCTTGCTGCCATAGCGTTGCACAGCAAACAGTGATTTGTCACTTCTGTAACTTGCCACAGACTACAATGTTTGTAGTGCATTAAAAAATAAGGGGCATGGTGACCTTGATAGTTGTAGGCAGCACTGTCAATTGAAACATTGCCTACTGATTAATTAATAGACAATTTATTGTCCAGAATCAGTAAATACTTGCTTTTAGGTGCAGTATAAAGTCTTCACCAACACCAAATAACTCAAGGCATCATTTGTTAAATTTTTCTGAAGTGAATTTGTTCAGAATGTTCAGTCATAAAGTCAGCATGGAAACAGACCCTTTGGTTCATCTCGCCTGTGCCAACCAGATATCCTAAACCGATTTAGTCCCATTTGCCAGCATTTGGCCCATATCCCTCTAAACCCTTCCTATTCATGTACCCATCCAGATGCCTTCTAAATAAAGTAATTGTACCCGCATCCCCAACAGCCTCCAGCAGCTCAGTCCCCACACTCTCCACATGAAAATATTGTCCCTCAAGTCCCTTTTAAAACTTCCCCTCTGACCTTAAACCTATGCCCTCTAGTGTTGGACTCCCCATCCTAGGAAAAAGACCTTGGCTATTCACCCCAGCCATGCCCCTCATGATTTTATAAACTTCTATAAGGTAATCCCTCAGCCTCTAACGCTCCAGGGAAAGAAATCCTAGCCTATTCAGAAGTGTGGGGGTAGACAGAGATTCTTATCAGGGCTCTTTTGTTCTTGGCTTGGATTAAATAACAGAAATTTCAAACTGAAAAGAATACGGATGCTGGGAAGATTTTCCAATTGGAATGCTGGTGTCGAAAGACATGAGTTGAAAGAGAGTAAATACGGTAGGAACATAGGCTCACAGGACTCAATCAGAATAAGGCCATTTGATTTTTCAAGCCTGCCTGGCAGTTCAATAGGATCATGGTAGTTACAGAACTGCCAAAATCTAACTGAATGGCAGTGCAGGCTTCAGCAGCTACATGGTTTGTTTACCAAGGTCCTCTGTCTAATTCTATGCTGGAACGAGAGGGCATAGTCTGAAAATTAGGGCCAGACCATACAGGAGGGATGTTAAGAATCACTTCTACACACAAAGGGTGGTGGCTGTTTGGAATTCTCTTTCACAAATGACAGTTGATGCTAGTTGTAATTTTAAATCTGAGGTAGATACAATTTTGTTAAGCAAAGGTATTAAGGGATATGAGCCAAAGGGAGGCATACGGAATTAAGCCATATATCAGCCATGATCTCATTGAATGGCCCACTCCTGTTCCTATGTTCACACTCCGGCAGGTTAAAATATCCCATGACACTGGAAAAGTATTTTGTGAAATAAGCAACATAGTTGCCATCAAAATTTACAAAGGAGGTGAAGTTGACATGTACGAATACCTTGACTTTTTATGATGGTACACACATTTACTCCTGTAATTCCTTTTGCGTTGAGCAGCTTGTTTATCTCCAACACCTGGGCATTGTAGGGTGTCAAAACTGCAATCTCACTTGGTATGATTTTGGCGAAAGTTAACTGCTTCACAATGAACACCTGTACATCAAATGGAAAAACAGAGACAGTGAATACATGAAGGTGTAACTTTCAAGTCAGAGATCGACTTACCACAGGTTATTCTCTCTTCACCAGATCTAGCTCTCGTATAAAGTATGTGTCTTTAACCACAATAAGTACTACTCATGGTGACAGAAAAAGACTTCAATCCACATTATATCTTTTACCAGATAGGGATTTGTTGATATATAATGTTCATGTTTAATTTTCACAAATTTGTTCTCAAATGCCCTGATACTATCAGAGTGATTAGTAATTTTGTCATCAACTGACAAGTTTTTTCCATTTTCCATGAGCCCATGTTGGCACATGGTCATGATCTGCAATCCTGCATGCTTTAGCTGACTCTCTAGATTCAATCTGGTACACAGGATATGAATTACTAATATTATCAAAAGATTCAACAGAACTGTACTCAAGATGGTAAAGAAATTGTGGTAAGTGATTCATTTTGGAAGGTCAAATTTGAATGCAGAATACAGGGTTAATGGCAGGATTCTTGGCAGTGTGGAGGAACAGAGGGATGTTGGGGTCCAGGTGCATAGATCCCTCAAAGTTGTGACCCAAGTTGATAGGGTTGTAAAGAAGGCGTATGGTGTGTTGGTGTTCATTGGCAGTGGCATTGAGTTTAAGTGCCGTGAGGTTATGTTGCAGCTGTACAAAACTCTGGTTAGACCACCATTGGAATATTGTGTTCAGTTCTGGTCAGCTCATTAGAGGAAAGATATGGAAGCTTTAGGGAGGGTGCAGAGGAGATTTACCAGGATGCTGCCTGGACTGGAGGGCAGGTCTTATGAGGAAAGGTTGAGGGAGCTAGGGGTTTTTTCATTGCAGCGAAGAAGTATGAGAGGTGACTTGATAGAGGTTTACAAGATGATGAGAGGCACAGATAGAGTGGATTGTCAGAGACTCTTTCCCAGGGCGGAATGACTATTACGAGGGGGCATAATTTTAAGGTGATTGGAGGAAGGTATAGGGGAGATGTCAGAGGTAGGTTCTTTACACAGAGCAGTGGGCATGTGGAATGCGCTGCCAGCAGTAGTAGTGGAGTTACATACTTTAGAGACTTTTAAGCGACTCTTGGATAGACACATGGAGGATGGTAAAATGTAGGGTATGCAGGGTAGTTTGATCTTAGTAGGATAATAGATCGGCACAACATCGTGGGCTGAAGGACCTGTACTGTACTGTACTGTTCTATGTTCCATGAAATTATGTGATGCTTTCTTTTCTATGCTGGAAAATGATAGTTTTTCAAGAACTTTTATTGCTGGTTCGAGTACCCCTCATTATGTATAGAACACTGACATACATACATTTTTAATTTTAGTGTCCTGCTGTTACAACTAACAGGTCCTGTTAGGACAGCAGATAAAATCTTTAACAAAAGGAATAGAAGACTGTATCCTGTGAAACGCTATGTAATAAAGACTGAAGAAAGCAGTGTCCTCACAGATACCAGGGACTGAATACTATAAATCCCCGCTGGTGGGTTTGCAGGCATGGACGTGCTCATTAGATCCCCTGGATGGCCTATCCACCACCCATCCCCATCAGTCCATCATTTTATGGTGGAACCAGCAAAGGCTTCACTGCCCCGAACCAGGTGGATAATTAATGACTATTTAAGAATTGTATCCTACTTGGCCTCAGTTTTCAGGTTAACAGGAGGATCTCAGGAGCAGGTTGAAGCCCAGAAAGTCACCTTGGGCAAGAAAGGCCTTTCTATATCAGGCAACCCCCATCCTCCCACATGATCTGTCCCCTAATGCACTTCCTCTCCCCTGACTTCTCTATTGACATCCCACCTCCATCTCCCTTGCACTCACTCCTAGGTTAGACCTCTCCTCCCTGTTTGGAGACCATCCCTACCTCCCTGGTCTTGAACTTTGGCATTTAGAATCTTGAAGTCCCAACTACAGTACTCTTGGGACTCAGAATCACTGAAATGTTACTTCGCCATTCAGCCCATTACTTTAGCACTGGCTCTTCAAGTAAGCATCATTACCTACTTCCCATCTTCTGCTTTCTTTCCATACCTCTGCAATATTTCTATTCAAATAGTTGTCCAATGTTGCCTTGAATGTCTCAATTGATCCTGCATCCACTACATTTCCAGGCAGTGCATTCCAAAGCCCAAGTGTTTTTTTTTCTCACTGGTGGAACAATAAGCAGCCAAACCATCTGGTCTCCGAGTCAGGACTTCCTTCTGAGTGAGGGGCCGACGTCTCATTTCCAGCCAATTAACACTCTGTGAAGCGCTGAATGGTTGCAGAATTGACAGAGATGCCTTCTCGGCTGACTCTTTTGGGGTTTGTGGGTGTGGGGTGTTGGCAGGGGCGGAGGTGAGAGGAGAAGGGTGGGTGAACCTGTAATCTGAAACTTGCTGGTGCAGGGCCAGTGAACAGAAAAGAGAAAACTAGTCGGTGTGGACTTGTTCGGCCGAAGGGCCTGTTTCCACACTGTAGGGATTCTAAAAAAAAACTGAAGAAGCACATGTTTACAATTAAATAGGGTCGTTCATGACAACCAGACGAGTCACTTACAGTACTTCCTTTCTTTCATTATTTGTACATGGGATTTTGGCTAGGGCAGCATTTATTGCTTATCTCTAATTGCCCTGAAGGTGGTTGTAGTGAGCTGCCATCTTGAACCCTGCAGTCCCTGGGTGTAGGTACACCCACGGCTAGGAAGGAAGTTCCAGGATTTTGACCTAGTGACAGTGAAGAAACTGATATATTCCCAAGTCGGGATGGTGTGTGGCTCGGAGGGGAACTTGTAGATAGTGTGTTCCATATACTTTGTTGCCCTTGTCCTTCCAGATGGTAGAGATCTTACGGTTTGAAAGGGGGTGCCAATGTAGTCTTGATCACTTATTGCAATGCGTCTTGTAGATGGTACACACAGCTACCACTGTGTACCACAGGTGAAGGGAGTAAATATTGAAGGTAGTGGATGGGGTGTCAATCGTGCAGGCTGCCATTCAGGCCAGTGGAGATCATTCCATCACAGACTTGAGTTGTGCACTGTTGATGGTAGATAGGCATTTGGGGAAAGGAGGTCAGTTACCTGCAGTAAAATTCTTAGCCTCTGATCTGTTCTTGTTGCCACAGTTTGCAAGGTTGGTCCAGTTCAGTTTCTGGTAAATAGTAATTAGAATTAGAATATCCTTTATTGTCACATGTACTCACGTTCACGTGACAATAAAGACTTTTCTGATTCTAATTACTATTTACCATCTCAGGTACAGGGTACCTAGGCTCAGATACTTTAGGTATTGCTACAGAATTGAAATAGTAGAAAAAAATTGACTAGCATGGGAATACAGAGTTTAAAAAGTCCACAGTGATAGTAAAAAGGATCTTTGAAGTATTCAAGTTATAGTTTTTTCAACCGAGTCTGTGCCCGCCAAGCTTCAGAATACAAGGCTTCACTGCCTCCACATGCTGGCCTCTGTCCTGGACTCACCTCACTCTGCTCCCGCTCCAGGCTCCAGCCCACGAATCATCTCCCGCTCCAGGCTCCAGCCCACGAATCAGCTCCCACTCCGGGCTCCAGCCCACGAGTCATCTCCCACTCCGGGCTCCAGCCCACAAATCATCTCCCGCTCCGGGCTCCAGCCCACGAATCAGCTCCCGCTCCGGGCTCCAGCCCACGAATCAGCTCCCAGCTTGACCTGCGGTCACTCTGCTCCTGCTCCAGGCTCCGGCCTGCGAACACTCTGCTCCCGCTCCAGGCTTCGGGATCCGGGGTCCGGCCCACAAATCAGCTCCCATCTAGACCTGCACTTGCTCTCCTCCCACTCCGGGCTCTGGCCCAGTTGATAATTGAGCATTACATCTGTTCAGATTCTGTCTTGTTGGAGCTGGCAAACGCGTGGCATTAAAATAACTTGCTGCTTATCAATTCAAGCCTGGATGTTGTCAAGATCTTGCTACGTGGTCCAAGGTTGTGTATGGTGCTGAACACTGTGCGATTGTCAGCAAATATCCCAACTTCTGACCTTCTGAGGGAATGTCAAGGGTAAAGCAGCCAAAGGTGATTTGGCCTAGGAAACTACCCAGAGGAAATCCAGCAGTGATTTTGAGGGGTAAGATGATTGATTTCCAACAATCACAACACCTTCCTTTCTCTTCAGAATGGCTCCAATCTGGAAAGAGTTTTCCCCTTAGTTCCCATAGACTCCAGTTTTGCTCAGACTCCTTGATGCCATAACCAGTCAAATGCTGCCTAGATATCAAGTGCAATTACTTTCACCTCACCTCTTTTGTCCATGTTTGGACCAAGGCTGGAATGAGATCTGGAGCTGAGTGGCCCTGGCTGAATGCAAATTGCTCATCAATAAGCAGGTAACTCCTTTCAAATGTACTCTGAAAGCACCTTTGATGACTTGTTTTATCACTTTTTGATGATTGAGTGTAGACTTAAAAGGCAGTAATTGGTCAGGTTGCATTCACTTGTTTACTGTGCATTGGGCAATTATCCACATTGCTTAGCAGTTGCCAGTGTTGTAGCTGTACTGAAATAACTTAGCAAGGTATACAGTGAGTTCGGAGGCTCAAAGCTTCAGGACTATTGCTGAAATATTGTGAAGGCCCACATTACAGATTATTAAGCTGTTCTGAAATGTAATTACTGTTGTAATGTAGGAAATGCCACAGCTAATTTATGCTCAGTAGACACACACAAACAGCAACTGATAATCAATGACCTATCAGATAACGTTGTTTGGGACATTGATTGAGGACAAATATTGACCATGACACCAGGATCTATCCATGATTGAGGGCTCTTGTAGTGTAGTACTGGTGTCCTCACCTCTGGTCCAGAAGGTCTGGGTTCAAGTCCCACCTGCCCTGGAGGATGTCATAAAATGTCTGAACAGGTTGATTAAAATATCTATATCCTCTGGCTCTTCAAAATAGTGCCATAGAATCTTTCATATCCACCTAAGCATGCAGAAGGGACCTCGTTTTAACATTACATGAAAGATGGCTCAATGACAGTACAATGCTCCTTTAGAACTGTGTCTCAACCTTTGCTTTTGTGCGTAAGTTGTGGAGTGGGACTTGAATCAGGAAATTCATGATTCAGAGGTGAGTTTGCTGTCAATTGAGCCACAGATAACACACTGACTAAAATGAGGCAGTACACAGATATCTGATACATTTTTGAACAAAATAAACATGATATCAATAAAACATCTGTTGCCTTTATAAAAGCACTCACATCTGAAACCTTGGCATTTCTCAGCTACAATTTTTCAAGAACAATAGTCTGTCCAACAATTGATAAATCCTCGAATCAAAGTTTGCAATACCCATTAATGGCTAATTTTCTTGTTTCACCAATTTGGTCACTAGATGGTATACCAATTCCTTTCTTTACCAAAGATTAAGAATTTGTGAAGAAAAGCTATCCTTACTAAGAAATAGTTTATGGTATTATAAAGAAGAATGTGAAAGAATCTTCAGATTTCATTTATAATATTTTATTTAAAATAAAAACTGTATTTATAGCTGTAGTATAAACAAAACTTCAAATGAAGAAACAGAAGTATGAAGAATATTTATTCAATGGACAAACACAAATAAAATTTCTTGTGGATTGGCAGGTTAAGCCATTAAATTCCATTCACTACATGTTTTCTATTTGCTTCAATTTGAGAAGTCTGTGGCTTAGTGGTAAAGTCACTGGACTAATAATCCAACAGGTAAATGTTCTGGGGACATAAGTTCAAATCCAATCCTGGAAGTTGGTGGGATTTAATTCTATCTACAAATTTGGAATTGAAAGCTAGTGGCAATGAAATCATTGTAAAAAGACAGCAAGTTCACTGAGGTCCTTGAGGGTACAGGATCTGCCACCTATACTTGGTTTGGATTACAGGTGACTCCAGACCAACAGCAACGTGGTTGATACTTAACTTCCCTCTGCAATGGCCGAGCAAGCAACTCTGTTCAAAGGCAATTAGAGATGGGCAAGAAATGTTCGTGTTGTCTGTGATGCCCACATACCATGAAAGAATAAAGAAAACGAAAACTACTCACAGCCTTTTCAGCCTCCAATTTGTTTGCTCTGGAATTCTCATTTCCCTCCTCAGTCGAAACCATCAAACTAATTTCATCTCCCAGGATATGCCCAAAGATTATCGGGCAGTGCATCTTTCCACGATGACAGAAGACACTTGGGGAACGATGTGCAAGCGTAGGATCGGTTTCCAGCTTCCCTTTATAAAACTTCTGAGAGGGAAACTGGCAAATTTCCTCGTGCTGAAAAATTAATAAAAACTCTCACTGGAGTGTTTTTTTTACAAGAAATAAAGTATGAATATTTAGGAAAAAAATTCACATTAACTGAGAAAATGCAGAATCTAAAAGGATGTTGTGCCTATATTTTCTGTCACATCACATACAAACTGTTCTTTACAAAACAACTCCTGCTGGAGGTAATTACCTCTTTCGTATTTAATCCGAATTTTTCACTCTAGTTTTAATAGAAGTGAATTTACCTTTAAGGAAAATAGTCATGCACAAATTTCCAAGCATAAAATTTTCACTAAACTGCCAAGATCTATTATATACTACAGTATTGGGTGGTTGTAGAACTCCAGGTGTACCTGTAGCCATCAATCATGTTGTGGCAGGTATTTTTCAATTTGGAAAATCATCACGTTCAATCATCTTCCCAAACAGCAGCTTCTGATCTACATAATCGCAACTACTGCTTCCGGTTTTTTTACAGGCAGCCAGTGCTTTTGATCATTCTATTGTCGTCAATTATACACAAGATCCATCTTTTGTTTCTTTTCATTGATCAACTTGCCTTGCACTATCATTCCTTTTGTCATTTAAGTTTGCAAGCTGTTGTCTGCACTTCCCTTGGTTCTAAAGTCTGTGAGCTACATCTTATTTTTTGGCTAAGTCTGACTTGCATTAAGAATTTGAGACGGTTTGTCATCACGAGGCCTAGTACATTCTCTCGCCTTGTCTTACCAAACTCATCTCATTAATAATCTACCTCACCCCTATGGTGTTACTCATGTTCAATTTCCACGCAATGCCGTTCCTAAAGTAACTCACCATTCATCAGATATCCCAGATTTCCCTATCATGCTTCACGCCCATGCCATCCTTAAAAGGCCACTGTGCATCTGGACGGGCAGAGTCAGTTCTCAGCTGACCTACGTTTCCTCACATTTGTTCTAGAGATGGCAGATGAGGGAACTCGCACCTAATGTGCAGCAGGGACCTGGAGGACCTATTGGATGGGGTGGTACTGATGTAGAACTTCCTCTGCCATCAAACAGCACAGAAGGCCACAAAACAAGACCATGTCAGCCTGGCTCGAGGTTGCTACCAGGTTTAAAGCAGTCTCAGCCATTTGGAGGAATGCCTAGAACTGTAAGAAGGTCAATTACCTTCTCCACTCTGTCAGCATAAGTGTCATCATCTTCTCTCTGCTACCTCACACCCACCCTCTCTCTGCTACTGCAACTATTTCCCACGAAAGTTCATGCTCTGTCACTCTCGTTATTGCCTGCAACATCATTCCTTCGAGGCAGCACGGTGGCTCAGTGGTTAGCACTGCTGCCTCACAGTGCCAGGGACCTGAGTTCAAATTCACCCTTGGGTGACTGTCTGTGCGGAGTTTGCACATTCTCCCCGTGTCTGCGTGGGTTTCCTCTGGGTGCTTTGGTTTCCTCCCACAATCCAAAGATGTGCAGGCTAGGTGGATTGGCCATGCTAAATTGCCCATAGTGTTCAGGGATGTGTAGATTAGATGGGTTATAGGGGGACGGGTCTGGGTGGCATGGTCTGAGGGTCAGTGTGGACTTGTTGGGCCAAAGGGCCTGTTCCACACTGTAGGGATGCTATGAATTACTCTTACCCACCTAAACTTCTGCTAGCAGTAGCAATGCATGCCCTCTGCAATGCCTACTCACTCGCTCGGGACACCTCCCCACCTGCACCCACAATAACAGCTGTGCCACCCACTTCCGTCTCCTGTAATACCTCCCTGTCTCACAATCCAGCAGGAAACAGCCCACAATAGGCCAGAAAGAGGCAAGACAGGTCGTGTGGTGCCTGAAACTCAGCTCCTCACTATTTATGAAGAGAGAATCCTAACTCTGAGCACCCGAGTGATTCACTGACCATTTCTATGTTCCTGGTCTGATATTGGAAGCTGTCCTTTACTTACAGTATTGGGACCCTCTGGGTGAAAGCTAATCCCATTGACTTGACTTAGAAGCTTCATGGCTTTCTGTCTGTGCTAAATGGCAAGGCAAATAAACAGTAATATGAGGCTGGTATCTCTGGCTGAGGGGGAAAGGCTCAAAAAGGCAAAGCAAGGCAAGGATGCTGTGAGCATCCAGGGATGCTCAGAGTGATTAGGTGCTATGATATTAAGTGAAGAACCCAGGGATGCAGCCTCATGAAGTCCTTGAGCTGAATGCACGTCCCTGACTGCACAGTATCTGTGTTGTAGACAAACTACAATGATAGAAGCATCCTGCAAGTGAATCAGATATGTATCATGAGGGTGTAAGGGGCTGCCATAAGTCAGATGCCAATGTCTGTGGATGTGGGGGATGCATGTGGCCACTGCCCATGGAGTGTGCCCTGAGATGTTGCTGCCCAGTTTCTAACACGGAGGTCATTCAAAGCAGGCACTGAGCTGAATCTGCTAGGTATACGCTCTGATTTTCTATCAAGCTTTCCTAATGTCAAGCTTGTTTGGCAAGGTTGGTAAGATGGGAGTCTAAATATCAATGAGGCACATTTTGGCATTAAAAATGTGTTTAATAATCAATAATGATTGTCTATCAGCTTCTCTCCATTGTCTCGTGATAATTTCACCATTCCACCTCTTAAAAGCATAAAAGATGAAACGAGATGATCTTGACATTGAGATGATGCCTCACTACATTTGTCACTTGATCCAGCCACATCTCACCACAAGCCATTTCACTCAGACCCCTATTCTAACCTGGCTGATATCAGGCTTCTGAAAAATCAGCTCATGACTTAGGAGGCAAGGGAAAGGGAAGCTGATAAGGAAGGAAAAACAATTACCAGGCTAAGGGATCAAATTTCAGCTAGTGATGAGAAAGGCAGGGGTCTTAAAATTCAATCAGAGATAGTAGGAACTGCAGATGCTGGTGAATCCGAGACAACAAGGTGCCGGGCTGGATGAACACAGCAGGCCAAGCAGCATCATAGGAGCAGAAAGGCTGACGTTTCGGGCCTAGACCCTTCATCAGAAAAGGGGGAGGGGAAGGGGGTTCTGAAATAAATAGGGAGAGAGTGGGAGGCGGATAGAAGATGGATAGAGGAGAGGATAGGTGGAGAGGAAACAAACAGGTTGAAGAGGCGGGGATGGGGCCAGTAAAGGTGAGTGTAGGTGGGGAGTTAGGGAGGGGATAGGTCAGTCCAGGGAGGACGGACAGGTCAAGGGGGCGGGATGAGGTTAGTCGGTAGGAGATGGAGGTGTGGCTTGAGGTGGGAGGAGGGGATAGGTGGGAGGAAGAACAGGTTAGGGAGGCAGGGACGAGCTGGACTGGTTTTGGGATGCGGTAGGGGGAGGGGAGATTTTGAAACTTGTGAAATCCACATTGATACCATTGGGCTGCAGGGTTCCCAAGCGGAATATGAGTTGCTGTTCCTGCAACCTTCGGGTGGCATCGTTGTGGCACTGCAGGAGGCCCAGGATGGACATGT